GCCTTGCAAATTAGATCCCTTGTCGGTATGCTGCAGACTCTGGGCTATGAAGGTCAGGCTGAATTGAGGTGTGGTTTGCATGTGGAGAGGCTGCTAAACAAACGGACCGGGGGAGAGCAGGGAACCCTGCCGGCTATTCAGTTACCATACTTCATGGATCAGATGAGGGCCCTGCCAAACCACCACCTGGACCAGCTCCTATTTCCCTAACCAGTTCAGGGGTCCTCAAAGCACAAGCCAAAGCTTTCTGTCCATATTGTGACAAAACCGACCATTACCTCAGTCAACGCCTACCTTCAAGTCCTTTAATAAACAGCAGATCACAGATTGGATTCAGATGAATCACCGCTGCTGGTATTGTGGGTGTGCACACCAAGCGGCTAAGTGTACCCTCAAGAAGCCATGTAGTATCTGTAAAGGCAGGCATTTGCAGATCCTTCATGAAGTTAACTCCAAACCAGGGACTGAGACTATGTATTTAGATAGACCTACGGGATGTAGAAAAGTTCTTCTCAAGGTTGTTAGAGTTCTGGTTTGTCACAGAGACAAGACCCTGGATACTTATACCGTTCTTGACAATGGATCGGAGAGGACAATTCTCATTTCCCCTGCAGCGACCAAAGTTGGAATCCATGGTCCCGAGGAAAGCCTAGCCCTGTGTACTATCCGCCAGGATGTACAAACTTTGACTGGAGCCGCAGTCTTCTTCCAGATATCTCCAGTAACCCAGCCACAGAAGGTATTCAGAATCTCAGCTTCCTTCACTGCCCCACGCCTCTGCCTTGCAGACCATTCTTGCCCTCGGAGTATCCTGGAGAAGTATCAGCACCTGAAGAACTTTCCCCTGCAGTCCTTTGAGGGAGTACGCCCACTGCTGCTAATCGGAGCTGACAATACTCACCTCATTACTCCCATATCACCTGTTCATCTAGGCCCCTCTGGAGGATCTGCAGCTATTTAGACAAGGTTCAGGTGGACATTGCAGGACCTGTAAGACTCTTGAAAGATCAGCTAACAGCTCAACAGTGC